TAACATAATTTTATCATTTTCTTCATCGATATAGCTGATGGCTATATCAGCATTTTCGGGAATATTCATCTTTAACCGAATTAATTTTCTTAATTTAGCGAAGTTTTGAGTATCAGACGTGAATCGATGAGACTGGTCAGATCCTTCAAGTTTACACTTATATATATATTGACCATCATCGAGCTTGCTATAATTGCTGAAAATACGGGAATCCCTCCGTGATGAGTAAAGACTTTCCGATGAAGGAGGTGTTAAAATTGTGGAATTAGGTCTTTGTTTTATTATTGGGCGCTCTATAGAATTTGTCGACAGAAAAGTTTCATTCATAGGTTCTGATGAATCATCTGACTTAGGTTCTTCTGTTGTTAATGTATTCCAAAACTTATTCCATACTGGTCCGCTTTCCACTTGTTCACCATTTAATGTTTTCAACTAAAACATTAAAATAATTTAGATTCATAAAACATATTAAAATAAATAGACAAATAAATGAAAGGAGTGTACTAACAGTATTTAACGTGGAATAAGTAAGCTGTAAAATATCAACCATTCCAACAATGATCTTTTTACCATTGACTACAGGTAAATGTTGATACCGTTCGTCTAAAATAGTAATATATATATATTAAACAAGCAAATTATTTTAAAAATTGTATAATAAATAATAATAATAAAAATAATAAAAATAATAAATACCTTGCATTTGACGAAGGGCTTGCAGGATTGTGGTATCAGTTGTTACCATATCAGGGCAAGGAGTCATTATTCTTACGGTTGATGTGTTATTTGGCTCAACGCTTTGACCATAGATTCTGTATATAAGATGTATAAATGATTAATTTGAAATTGTATAAAAAAAAGAGAAAAAAATGGTGCATAAAGTTTACCTAAGTACTATATCCTTTGTTGTAAAAATACCCACTGTTTTATGATTATTAGTACTATCATCGACAACCAAGACTGCCGTTTGATGATGTTCTTTCATAATTCGTGCGGCATCTCGTACATTCGTTTTAATCGAAACTTCTGGCGGTGATCTTGAGGGATCAATAATAGAACTTAGTCGAGGAAAACATAGATGTTGTTTTATAAGAGCAGCCATGGTTGTAAAATCAGCTTTGTTCAAAGCATTTATATCTGAAACATCATCTAAAACAGCAAATAATTGTTTTGTTGAGGCGTGAGCTTTTTCAAGCCTTGCAAGAGCATGAAATAAACATTCAGTAATATCAAGAAGTCCAATGATTTCATCAGAATCATCTATAAGTGGCTATACGATATCAAAAATAAAATAAAATAAATTAAATAAAGTAAGTAGATAAATAAATTGTAAAAACTATAATATAAAACAATTACACACCAAATGTCTGTATCCACCTGAAACCATACGGTTTAAAGCTTCAGAAGCATTAGAGGATGTTGTAATACAATCTGGATTCTTAGTCATTATATCCGCGAGGGATGTAGCATTAGGATTAAGACCTTCAGCACAAACCCTGAACGCCAGGTCTTTATCAGTAACAATTCCTATCAACTTTTCTAATTCATCTACGACAAGCACTGCTGTGGCTCTATTATATTTTATAAAACAATAAAAAAAATATATTCTTTTTAAAGGAAAGAAAAAAGAAAAAAAATAGGCATTAAGAAATGGTATCAAAAGTTTCAACCTGCTTACAGCCATAAAACGTGCAGCGTCCATCACAGTGGCCGTTCCTGAAATATTAAATTATAAAATTTTAGCTTGTAACAAAATGTATACCTCTTTCATATGTTCTCCATAAGTGTTCTTCAGATTAAGAATTTAAAATTAAAATCTCTAACTAAGTGCTTACCTAGTAAGGTTATTGCAGGAGAAGGTCTCAAGCTTCCAACCGAACCAGCAGTCTTTGGTATTTTATCAAGCGTTCTCTTTCCATAAAGTTTATTTGTTCTTGTAAGATCATGTTCAACTTTCTTTCTTATTCTTTCGTCCTTTTCAAGTTGTCTCTTCCTTGAAATGTCTTGGGAATTGTTAATATTTCCCGTATCAACATTTCTTGTCTCACCACTTAAGCGCTGTTGACGATTGGAAGGTACTCTTAATGACATTATTAAAGTTTAGTATTGTAGAAAATAGAAAAGAGTGATTTATATATATATAGATATATATAGTAGAAGTTAAAAGAATGAATTAAAATATTAAGTCCGAAAAATGTCGTAGACAAACAAATAGTAGCGCGTGATTACACACTACTAACATCAACGAAACGTTTTTTAGTTTAAGATTAACGGATGCATATATATAGTGTACTCAAAGGGTTTCTATACTGTATACTGTATATTTTAATAAAATAAATTTATATGCGTTAAATAATGAAATACTAAAATAAGTTTTCTATTTATAAAAAAAAAAAATCCCACATATCTTGGTGAACTGATGGATAGAACTTAAGTAACATTGTACATTTAATGGAGACATAGATACATTCTAAAGATATTTGTAAATTATTACTTTTTTAGTTGGATACGATGAGGTAATTATGAAACGTGGGGAGATTCTTATTGATTTAAGGCAAAAATCTACTATTCTTTTAAAGAAATTGAACAAATAAAAAAAACAAAGTTTTTAAATCGAGTCATCTCGCATTTCTTGTCTGACAAAACCACACATATTCGTAAGCTACTTTAGGATTTATTTTAATTACATAGTCATTCTCTGGATATCATCCTTTGCTTTCTCAATTTCTTTATTTAAGTTACTATAACATTGCACAATTTGTTCAAACTCCCCGCAAACACCCTGATATCGGGAAAGTTGTGCTTCTAACGCATCTAATTCCTGGTGATAATCTTTTTCCTCACGCATTAGATTATCCCTATATTATCATATGCAATGTAAAATTTTTTTTAATCCGTGTTTGTATAATAAAAAAAAAAAGAAATATACAATGGGTATATATATGGAACTCACCTTATTGACATGAGCTCTTCTAAAGTTTCTTTATCATAAATAACCATCAAGGCATCTAATCGAAGCACACTGTTTAAATTTGTACGACATAAGCTTTACGAAATGCATTTACTAAAATAATATATAAAGTAAATATAATTCCAACCTCAATTTTAAACCGATATTTTTAACAAGCATTGAAAAATAGTCATTAAAAATAGTATTTTTTTGTAATTCATGGTGTAGCTTAAATTCTTCGATAATAATCCAAAGAGTAGATAAAATATCTTTCATTACCTATTATGGAATTATTATATTTAGGGTAGATATTAAAAACAATCTAAACAAAATTACTTAAATCATATGGTATATAATATACTTTACATTCATATAATTTGTTATTCGATCTCCCAATTGAATCTGATTCATAACTCTATTGAATTTTGCAAGCCGCAATTCCTCAAGTTGGGAAGTTAATATCTTATCCAATTTAGATGCCTTAGTAAATAGTTGTTTTTGTGTTTCAGATTTTGATTCTAATTTGGGAATATAATACTTGTAACATTCCACATAAATTTAGAAAAATTGAAATATACTGGAATTATTAAAAATTTTTTTTTCTACCTTCTTCAGTATAATAAAATTTAGCTATATCTATGCACTGTTTTGTCAATCTGTTTTCAATACAACTTAAAACTGTTTCTTTATGTCTCTTTATGATAAAAGAAATAGATGAATATTAAATAAAACCAAGTTCTTTATATGTACATCTAAAAAATCATAAGATGACTAACATTTAATTCCCTTAAATCATTTTCAGCAGCTTTATTTAATTCTTCCACAGTCAGTCCAAGCAACGAAGCATTATTATTTTCTATAGATGGATCATTCGGTCGAAAATTTAATAATTGTTTCGCTTCTGCAAAGGTCAAACAGTTTGTAACCGCTTCTAATGTCTATTTCCAATAAAAAAAATTTTATTAATTAAACATTGACAATATCAAATTAATAAATGTCGGGATGATGCTGAAATTTAGAGTCTCTATTTAAAAATATGAATCCTACTAAACCCATTTAATACTCTTTAATTATAAATCCTAATCCCTAAATCTTAATCCAACCATAAAAAAAATTACTTTAAAAAATTTTTAAAATTTCATATTAAAATAAATTCAAATTTCAGCATTATCCCCAACAATAAATATGTATTACCTTTTCATTTATGTCAACTGGTTTATTTATTCTTGAATTTTTCTGTAAGGCCAACTTCCTGACTGCATCATATATTATTAAATTTTCAAAGTAATCAAGTTTATCTGCCAGATAATCATCCTAATATAATAGTATAAATGTAACGCGTTAAAATAATATATTAACTCGCGTTTGATATGAAAACTTACGCGTTTTTTTTTTGAACTTGTTCCATCTAGCGATTTTTTTTATCGTTGTGTTCGTTTACACGGTCAGAATCACACGATCGATAAAAAAATTTTTATATATTTTTAGGAAGTCACGTTACTTTATTCACATAAAAAATATTATCTTTAAGATCAGTAGCTCCGCGAAATCGTATCTACGGACAGTGCAATCACGTGTTATTATTAAGAAAGGAAAAATAAAAATTTTCAAAACTTTAAAAGCAAACTACCTTGGTAACTACCTGATCAAATTCGATGCAAATTTTTTTATTTGAATTCTATGAATCTATAGAATTCAAATAAAAAAAATTTCACGAATTTGGTCGAGTGGTTGTGGAGATATCTTCACTCAAGTTAGAGAAATCAAAACGTCTATCAAAATAGAAGCTACGTCAATTTTTTTAAAAATTTGAGCGAAAGTATCTCTACAACCGCCTAACCAAACTCGAATAAATTTTTTTATTTGAATTCTATGGATTCATAGAATTCAGATAAAAAAAATTTATCGAGCTTGGTCAGGTGGTTGTGAAGATACTTTCGCTCAAAGTTAGAGAAAAATCAAAATAGAAGCTACACCAATTTTTTTTAAACTTTGAACGAAGATATCTCTACAACCACCTGAACAAATTCGGTGGAATTTTTTTTATTCGAAATCTATGGATTAGCGCTCGGCAAAATCAAACAAAAATTTGACAGTCAAATACTTGTAATTAAGGGTGTTCTCAAGCACCTTAAT